TACAGGTGTGTGCCACCATGCCCAGCTAATTTTTGTATTTTTAGTAGAGACAGGGTTTCATTTTGTTGACCAGGATGGTCTCGATCTCTTGACCTCGTGATCCACCCGCCTTGGCCTCCCAAAGTGCTGGGATTACAGGCGTGAGCCACCGCGCCCGGCCCAGATATTCTTATTACGATTGCATTAATTAATTTGGAGAGAATTGAGTTCATGACTTTTCAATGAGTGCGATTTATTCAGGTTTTCTTATAGGTCTTTTATTACAATTTTTTTTTTCTTTTTTGAGACAGAGTTTCACTCTGTTGCCCAGGCTGGAGTGGAGTGGCATGATCTCAGCTCACTGCAACCTCTGTCTCCAGAGTTCAAGTGATTCTGCTTCAGCCTTCTGAGTAGCTGGGATTACAGGTGCCCACCACCATGCCCAGCTAATTTTTATATTTTTATTGGTGACAGGGTTTCACCATGTTGGCCTGGCTGGTCTCAAACTCCTGACCTCAGGCGATTCACCTGCCTCATCCTCCCAAAGTGCTGGGATTACAGGTGTGAGCCACTGTGCCTGGCCCTTTTATTATAGTTTTATAGGTTTCTTATTGTAATTCTTGTACATTTCTTATATTTATTCTTACATATGGTTTTAGTCACTATTGAGAATGGGGTAGGCCTTTTTTTTTTTTCATTTTCTCTTCTAATTGGCTGTTTTGGTAAACAGAAAAATATGGTCTTCTCTTGGCTGGGCATGGTGGCTCATGCCTATATTCTTAGTACTTTGGGAGGCTAAGGTGGGAGGATTGCTTGAGTCCAGGAGTTCAAGACCAGCCTGGGCAATATAGTAAGACCCCATCTCTAAAAAGAAAAAGAAAGTTTAATTAGCAGGGCATGATGGCTCACACCTATAGTTCCAGCTGTTACATGCACTCTGAATGAAGAGACCCTCTAAACAGTCTTTGTGTGAGCAATATGGCTATTTATTCACCTGGGTGTGGGCAGGGTGAGTCCAAAAAGAGAGTCAGCAGAGGGCAGTGGGATAGGAGTTGGTTTTATAGGTTTGGGGTAGGCAGTAGAAAGTTACAGAAGTTACAGTTCAGGGTGGTTTTTGCAAGCTGGGAGGCAATGTAGGGTCTGGAGTCACAAGGTTGACTATCAGTTGAGCAAGGTTGGTTACAAAGTCCAGTTGCCTTATCAGTTGAGGCAGGAATAAGGAACAAGAGAAGAATATCTCAAAGTTAATTAGGCACTGCAGGGGTTGGTCATTTTTCTCCTTTTGTGGTTTTCCAGTTACTTCAAACTTTCTATTTCCAGGAACTCATCTGAAGGTGTACATGCAGGTCACAGAGGTTACCATGCAGTCGATGGCGCAGTCAGCCAGCCTAAAAGGGAGCAGCTATTAGGGCAGCTGGGGCAGGAAGATCCGTTGAGCCTAGAAGTTCAAGGCCACAGCTAGCTATGATCACACCACTGCACTGTAGTATGGGTGTTGAGCAACACCCTGTCTCTGAAGAAAAGGTGGATTTCTCTATGTTGATTTTATATCCAGCCAATGTACAGAACTCTTTTTAGATCTAAGGGTTCTTTAGTTGATTCTTCTATTAGGTGGACAATCATATACATTACAAATGGAGTTTTATCTCTTCCTGCCCAATATTTATACCTTCCCCCATATTTTCCTTATCTCATTGCAATGGCCAGGACTTTTAATCACTGCAATTTTGAATAAACAGCCATCCTTAGTATCCATGGGAGACTGGTTCCAGAACTCCTGCAGATCCCCAAATCTGAACATACTGAAGTCCCACAGTACAGTTGGCCCTCTGGAACTCAAAGATAGGAAAAGTTGGCCATCCATATTCGTGGGTTTTGCATTGCAAGAGTATTGTATTTTTGATGTGCATTTGGTTGTAGATTCAGAACCTGTCAACCAAGGGCCAACTACATTCATTGCAAAAAAAATCTGAGTATAAGTGGACCCCAGCAGTTCAAACCTGTGTTGTTCAAGGGTTAACTGTAATTTCTTTTTGTCCTAATTTTAATGGGAGTGCTTCTAGTGTATGTATGGTGAAACCCCATCTCTACTAAAAGTACAAAAAAATTAGCCAGTTGTGGTGGTGTATGCCTGTAGCCCTAGCTACTCAGGAGGCTGAGGCATGAGAATTGGTTGAACCTGAGAGACAGAGGCTGCCGTGAGCCAAAATTGCACCGCTGCACTCCTGTCTGGGCAACAGAGCAAGACTCCGTCTCAAAAAATATGTGTATCAATTGTATACAATTCAGTGATTTTTTAGTGTATTCACAGAGTTGTACAGTCATCACCGCTATCGAATTTCAGAACATTTTTATCACCCCAAAAGCAACTCCATATCCTAATTAGCAGTCACTTCTCATTCCTCTTGTTTCCTGGCCCTAATCTACTTTCTGTTTCTATGGCTTTTCTCTTCTGAACATTTCACACAAATGGAGCCATGAAATATGTAATCTTTCGTGACTGGCTTCTTTCACCCAATACCATAGTTTCCTCGTTTTCTTATTGATTGATTGATTGATTGATTGAGGCAGGATCTCACTCTGTTGCAGCCTCAACCTCCCAGCCTCAAACAGTTCTCCCACCTCGGCCTCCCAAGTAGCTGGGACTATAGGTGCGTGCCACCACACTCAGCTAATGTTTAAATTTTTTTTTTTTT